TCTCGAAATACAATAAAGAAGCGTCCTTTAGTTGTTATAATTTTTCGAGAAACCCCCCAAGCCCATCTATAGGGGCTCGGCGTTACAATAATGCTATAAGGGAGACTCGGCTCTGCCTCTGCAGAACCGAGCCTCCCTCGGGGGCTAGAAGGGGGAACCCCCCCTAAGTCCCAAACACCGTTTTTAGTCGTTTTTTGAAAAAAAATACGCCAAGCTCTCTCGCGTACTCTGACAAAACGATCGTAAAAAACCTAAGTTCCAAAAGTTTGTCTCGGGGCCAAAAGGCCGGCCGAGCCGTGAGAACGGCCTACACCTCTGGGCTACGGAAACTCCCTCACCACCCTCGTCCTCGGCGGTGGCGGTGGCGGTGGCGGTGGCAGTGGCACGGCTGCCGTGTCCACCAGAACCGGCCGGCCCTCGCCCGACTCTGATGCTCCCTCGGCCCTCTATGGAGGTGGTTGAATCGCCCCCGCCGTCACCTGCTCCACCTCCGCCGTCGAGCCCATTGGGCTGACGGCGTGCTTCCCCGACGCCCGTGCCTCGGGCGTGTCGGCCTCGGCCCCAGGGCGGGCAATCGCTAGCCCCGAGGCACCCTCTCCTCCTCCTCCTGGAGACGTCAGGCCACTTGCCGACGCCCCAGGCACCATCTCCTTGATGTCGGGAGGTGGTCCAGGGGACCCCGCCCCGCCTCGCCCTCGTCGCTCAAAAAGTCCATCGACGACGATGATAGAGACGGCTCCTCCGGGAGACCATCGCAACTCTGTTGCCGGCGACGTTTCTCCAACTCGTCGCGCTCGAGGCTCTTCCTCTTGTGCCTTGCCTCCTCGGTGTCCTTTCGCTCCTTGTATGCCTCGGCGTGTGCCCTGTTCTCGGCTCGCCGCTCGGCGTCCTCATGAACAGATGGCGGTGGAGGCTCGCACATCCCTCATCCCATGCAGGAACGACAAATGCAATAAGGGAACGGACTAAAAATGTAAGGAGCAAGAAGGCCTCGAAGGCCACAGCAACATGCAACTTACCAGAGAGATGTACCATGGGCGCATCGGGAACAGGGTCAGACCACTGCTCCTCAGCCGCCCCTCCACCGTCTCTCTCACCCAACGCAGAATCTCCTCGTTGGAGAAGGCGATGGCGGACAGCCAGACGTCGTCGATCGGCTCATCCGATGTCATCTCGAACAGGTGCTGCTGCCGAGCCATCAACAGTAGCACCCTCCGGTGGTAGAAGGCCACCACGACCACGGCCACCGTAAGGCCACAACTGCGCAGCCTCTCCAGGGCCCTCAGGAGTGGCTGCAGCTTGGGCTGATCAGCCAACGGGACGTCGTACCTCCACCTCTCCGGCTAGCTCTCCACGACCCGCTCGGTATAGGGGGGAAGCCCGCCATCATCATTGCGGAGGTAGAACCAGTTGTTGTACCAGCGGCGGTTGGACGACACGAGCTGGGCCGGGATGTAGAGGGGCTGCCGGTCTTGGTGCACTTGGATAGTGCAACCGCTGGCCCTCAACGCCTTCGTGTGCCCGTCGTACCCACCGGCTTGGTGGTGAGCCCCGCCCGAAAGAGGTGGAGCCACAACTCCCAGTGGGGGCAATGCCCAGGTACCCCTCGCAGACGGCAACGAAGATGGCCACCTGCGCAATGGAGTTGTGGTTGAAGTTGTGGAGCTCCACGCCATAGTAGTGCAGGAGCGCCCGCATAAACGATCCACCGGCAAGCCGAGGGCACGCTCGTGGAAGGCCACAAAGCTCACGATGTAGCCATCGCGTGGCCTCGGCTCTGGCTCGTTCCCTGGAGCAATCCACTCTAGCCTATTGGGGTCGGTGACCTGGGCGGAGGAGACCGTTGTCGACGAGCGACTGTAGCGTCACCGCGGACACATCGGACAGACCCCAAGGATCCGCCTAGAGGACAACAGCGCCACCAGCCATGGGTGCGGTGCAGAATGCGACTACGGCGGTAACGAGTGCTCTCGCTTACTCTCTCTCTCTCTCTCTCTCTCTCTCTCTCTTCTCCTCCCCCTTCTCCCTTCTTCTCCCTGGCGCTCTCTTCCACTATTCTTGGCAACCCCTCGAGGGCAGAAAGCGCGAGTGCAGGTAGAAAAGGTAAGGAGGGGCAGGGGCGCAGCTCGTCACGTATTTATGAGGGAGGAAGGAAGGCGAACGGGCAGGCGACGAGACCGGGAAGATTATTTCCCAGATCTGGCGCAGTTAATGCGGATCCGGCCAAACCACCAACGCGCCCTACTTCTTCTCGCAAACCACGCATGTACAGTAACGTCCCATCCGCAGCGACGGCAGGCGCCATTCTGTCTCCTCGAGAAACCGCCTCAAAAGGCGCACCCACCGTCGTCAGCCGATGGGAAGGGAATATTCCCCACCCGATTCCTTTCAGACCAAGGAACTGGGCACCGAGCCCGTTACGGTCCAGGGGTTCGAAGGCTGGGCCCCCGAGGGTCTCAACAGCCGCCCCAGGACAAACAGAGTTAGGGATGACTAAGGGCGAGCCCGTACATGGCCGAGGCCCAAGCAAGCAGTTGCTTGGGATGCCCTAAGTCGTGTCCGAGACCGGCAGGGAGGTCTCTGAATGGGATCCCACCGTAGATAGGCACCGAGCCCCTAGGGCCAATCAAACGGCCCTAGGACCCACTAGAGAAGCCCTCTGGTACTTTTGGAGCGCGTCTCTAGACCGCTAGCCGACCCCTATCGAATGAGGCACGGGCCTCCACTTGGACTTACCCGTTAACAGCTCACCAGAGGTGTCACTGCTCGCCCGTCGAGGGTAGCCTAGCATACTCCACCCCTCCTTCCGATCGAAAAGGATGCGCGAGGGTCGCGCAAAAAAGATAAGGGAACTCCTGACCGCCCTCTTGCTCTGAGCAGAGGCTCGGGGGCTCTTCCTGCGACCAAGCCAAGGCCTAGCGACCCGAACTCGCACTCGGGGGCTCGGCAAACGCAACAACCCCCCCACCACCACTCAACAGGGAAAAAGCCCCTGGAGGAATAAATCCACTCCTCCAGGGCCTCGGGGGCTACACCCGACGGGTGCGCTCGCGCGCACCCACCGGAGCCTCGAGCACAAAACACAATACCGACGGGAGCTGCTGCGAGCCAAGTCTCGTCAAAACCTCAGGGAGAGTGTTCCCACTCCCCCCGAGGCTCGGGGGCTACTGTCGGATACCATAAAAAGGGGTACCCTAAGGAAGAACCGAAAAAATTGCTTAGACCTTGTAAATAACGAAACCAAAATACAACCGTGGGCAAACCCGCCACATCCGAGGCCCGGCTGGACCGCCCGACCCACCTCGAACAAATATCCGCGCTCGACCGAGGCCCCACACCGCAAGGCCTCGGACGAGGTACCGATTTTCTGACTCGCCCGAGGCCCCACACCGCAAGGCCTCGGACGAGGTATCGATTCTCCGACTCGCCCGAGGCCCCGCGCCACGAGGCCTCGGATGAGCACCCAGTTACCGACTCGCTCGAGGCCGCCTCGACATCAACCCCGTCACGACCACCTTGACCAACTTCTCTGATGAGACGTCACACCCAACTAACACGTTCAACCACTCCCGCGACGTCAGCCGCATGACGGCATGGTACAGCGAGAGTGGCCAACAAGATGGAAGTCACATCGACCCCACGCTATTCGAGAGCAGGGGCGGGCGGGGTTACTGTCACAGTGTTTGCTCGGCGTTGTGCCCACTACGGACACCCGTGCCACGCTATGCTGCCTAACCCCTGCCCAGGCATGGAAAGTCACGTCCGGGTCCCTGTAGCCTCAGAAACGACGTGCAAGGCCAACTGCTCCCTCCGAGCCTCGGCTACCTGCTTCCGGGCTCCTGTAGCCTCGGGACTCGCGCCCGCCGAGCCCCCCACGACGGTCCAGCCTCTGCATCGAACTGGGCCTCGGCTCTCTACGTTGTCAGCGCTCTAGGACCGGCACGTCGCCCGCAGTACGCGCCATGCCCTGCGTCGGGCTGCAGGAGCTCCCACATTGTGCACAGGGCCTAGCTCCTGTAGCCTCAGAATCAGCATACCCGCGCCATCGCATTAACCCGGTCTCGGCACTCCGCGCCGGTCAAACATATAGTGACCAGCACGCCTCCAATAGAAGAAGACGCGCCTGCCACCACAGGAGCTCCCACGTCGCACAGGATCAGGTATGACCAGTGCGTCGCTCCAGTGCACGGAGGACAAGACCGCTCCACCGACCGCGCCGCCACAGTGACAAGCTGTAGTGCTTGGACATGCCGCTCCCGCCGAAGAATGCCACGTAGCAAATATATGTACCGCCCCTGTGCCTCTCCTCGACTATAAAAGGGAGTGACCAGGGCCGCTTCTAGGCAAGGGAAACCAGGACAAGCCACGCACAACACTCTGTAACACGCACATTCCTTCACTGCAAGAGATCAACATCTCAAGCAACACACACTGCAATTCACAGAGACCTGGGGCTAGCTCCCTCTCTCGCCCAGCTTGTAAGCCCCTACTACAAGCATCTCGGTGCAAGGAATACAAAATCGCTCCCTTAGACTGAACGTAGGACACTTATTACCTAAACTAGTATAAACCTTGTGTCTCTTTGCATCACCATCCGGAATTAGGAACACGCAGTACACTTTCACTAATCGGTTGAGGACCCCCGGTCCAAAACACCGACACTACCATTAAGTAATAACACATACAGGCTCGCTATAGCTAGTAATTCTTTTAAGGAACGACAAGAGATTAATCAAGATTTTTATTAGACAATAGAAAAGGAAAATAAAAAGAGAGAGAGGTACAACAACACCTAAAGAGTTGAACTCAGAACAAATAAAGAAACAGGTGCACCTGATGACCTGTAGAATTCCCAAACGATATACAGAGGGGCTTGAAGAAAAACACATGGGGCCAAAAAGGTTTACCAGTATGTGTAGGGCAAAATGTAGGAGTTACTGTTTCTAAATTTCCAAATTTTAGTAGTAATTGTCATAACAGTATGCTCATTCCAAAATGTACTACTGCAAAAAAAAAGGATGCGACTAGTGTTCGTGTAAACAGGCAAACGGATTTTAGAAGAAACTGGCACCTTTGTTGCTTCTAAAATGTAATACTGTGAAAAAGATGTAAAACTAGCCAATATTCGTCCAAATTAAATGGGCAAACGAATTTAGAAGAAATTGGCACCTGTTGCTGGGTAGACACGTTGTCCTTCTCGTGCTCTCCTGTCACGTTCATCTTCCCCTGTCTCTTGCCTGTCTGGCCTCCTGCTCGATAAAAGGAGAGAGTTGACTATATAGAGAAAAGATTCATAATATATGTTTTAGAATTAATTCTATTATACTCCTTCCGTTTTAAATTACAAGTCAATCCAACTTTCTTAGAGAGTTAAAGTATCTTAAATTTAACTAAAATTATAAAAAACATTACAATAATTTATGATATCAAATGGGTACTATAAAAATATAATTAATGAAGACTTATTTGGTATCATAAATGTTATTATTTTATTATACGAATCTGGTCAAATTTGAGATTTTTTTTTAGAATTACACAGTACATTGACTCTTAAAAAAGTTAGAATGACTTGTAATTTGGAACAGAGAAAGTAACATGAAAACAAACAGATTGAACAAACTTTTGTCATTGAACGTGCTTCTACTGCATAAATATTGGTGTGGTACAGAAATGTCATACGTGACGGGAAAAAAATAGACCATTTCTGTCCTCTTGTCAGCATTAAACAAAACGACGAGTATATGAGTGCGGTGCTTCGACGAGGAGATCAACCGTACCTGCGACGTACGGTGGTCCCGGAGGAGGAGCCGGCGACGGTGTTGCCGCCGCTCTTCCTCTTGCGGCCTCTCCCGCCGGCGCCCACCACCTTGAAGTGGATCCGATCTTCGTCTTCCCTTTCCTCGTCTACGGTGGTGGAGCTGGAGCCACCGGCCATAAATGCCTGAACGGCGGCGGCGGGAACCACGCGCCGGCCGTCGTCGGCCCCCTTGGCCTTCTTCTCCAGGTAGCACTTGCGCCACGCGATGACCATCCACAGGTCACAGACATCGTTGGCCTGCAGCGGACTCCTGAGGACGTAGGTCGAATCCCTGGATTTTTTTATTTTTAACTCTTTTTTAAACTATTTTTAAATATAACATTGTTTATTTTTTCCCAAACTAACACTTTTGCCGCACCTATTTGCATGGTGCGGCGAGAGGGATGACATGGCGATGACCGGGACGCTGACCGGTGACGTGGCAGGATCTGCCGCGCCACCGATCTTGACGCGGCGGTGACGCGCCACGGAGCATGGCGCGGCAAGACCCGGGCGAGCGGGTTCACCGAATTGGCAGGCCCATCGCCAGGCTAGGGGCTGGCCGGGCAGACCTTTGCGGCGGAGCGTGCAGTGTAGGCGTGCAGCTACTGTCAGAGCTCCTCGATGACCGAGTAGACTAGAGTAGACTGCAGGCGTGCACTAGCTCCTTGATGACCGAGTAGCATTTAAACAATGTTTGAATGGACGAAATGATCGTTTAGTTTGAGAGTGTTTAGTTCAGCTGTGAGTCATGGAAGAATGTACTGCTGCGTCAACAGTATGAGGCCAATCGTTGGAATTTGTTAGCTGTTGTTGTTAGCAAACGTCTTAATTAGATTTTTCTGGTATCAGGATGATGCGGATGGTGGCATAGCTAGACGCTCTTTATTCGGTCTGCGGACTGTGGCTGTACTTGCACAAATACCTACGCACATAGTGGTACTTTTGCACAAGACCCTGCGCTGCACATGCAACTTATGATACCAGTGCCAGACTAGCACTTTGCTCTTGGTACTTGCCAGAGAGAGATACCATCGCTGCTAAAATAAACAAGGGTTAGCTAGCTACCGAGCACTAGCATCTCGTTGCACAGTACACACTCCGTCGTCACAGAAAGGATATAGTTTTATTAGAAGAGTACTCCATCGGTACCACAATAGAAATTGTTATGTGATACGTGTAGGTTAAATTTTTTAACTTTGACTAGCTTTATAGAAAATACTTGCAACATTTATATCTTCAAATAAGTTTATTATAAAAGTATATTCAACGATCTACCTAAAATACTAATTATGTATTATAAATATTAATAATCTTTTATATATAATTGGTCAAAGTTGAAAAAAGTTAATTTCTCGGGAAGCGAGAACAACTTCTATTTTGGGACGAAGGGAGTAAAGCTTATTATGTTCTTCAAAAGTTGTTCGGCTATGTCATTCTGGTCTCTAAATTTGTTCATCATCCATTTAGATTATATTTTTAAACTTGTTTGACTATATCATTTTGGTCTCTAAACATGCAAATCGCCTGCTTAGCTCCTCAAACTTGTTCAATTGTGTCATCTTAATTTGCAAATCATCCTGTCGGTGCGAAAAGTGACCAACACGTAAATATTTGTAGTTTTACCGTACATTGTGATCGAATGTGCCCTAGCACTTAATGACACAGGTTTATACTGATTCAGGCAACGTGTCCTACGTCCACTTTGAGTTGATCGTTGACTTTATTCCTGAGCCCAGGTGACCCCACAGCAAACTTTGAGCACCTAAGCTCATACCCTGTTCCAGGGCTTTATTCTCAATGACATAGGGTTTATACGAAGTCTGATTCTGGTACCATAAGTTGCATGTGCAGCACAGGGTCTTGTGCAAAAGTACCACTATGTGCGTAGGTCTTTTGTACAAGTGCAGCCACCGTCCGCAGACCGAATAGAGAGTGTCTAGCTATGCCACCATCCGTATTATCCTGATACCAGGAAAATCTAATTAAGACGTTTGCTAACAGCAACAACTAACAAATTCAATCGATTGGCCTCATACTGTAGACGCAGCAGTACATTCTTCCACGACTCACAGCTGATCTAAACACTCTCAAACTAAACGATCATTTTGTCCATTCAAACATTGTTTAAATGCTACTCGGTCATCGAGGAGCCCTGGCAGTCTACTCTAGTCTCTAGCTGCACGCTGCTCCGCCGTAGAGGTCTGCCAGGCTGGCCCCTAGCCTGGCGATGGGCCTGCCAATTCGGTGAACCCGCTCGCCCTGGTCTTACCGCGCCATGCTCCGTGGCGCGTCACCGCCGTGCTAAGATCGGTGGCGCGGCAGACCCTGCTACGTCACCGGTCAGCGCCCCGGTCGTCTCCACATCATCCTCTCTCGCCGTGCCACCATGCATGGCGCGGCACATCATTCGCCGCGCCATGCAAATAGGCGCGTCCAAAAATGTTAGTTTTGAAAAAAAAAAATGTTACATTTAAAAATAGTTTAAAAAGTGTTAAAAAAAAAAAATCAACCCCTGAGCGTGCGGAGCAGCTCGTCCACCTCGTCGCCGGTGGCCACGTGATCCCGCGACAAGACTACGTAGTATGCATGCACCAGTAACAAAATGATTAGTTAAGCTTTTCCTCTTTCACTACTGCTTGATGTGATGCAATTTTATTCGTAGGTGCGCGTGCGTTGATCGCCATGGCAGCGTGCTTACAGTAGATGACCGGGATGGACAGATCGGACTCGACAATGCCACGGAAGTCGAAGCCGCAGGTGGTAGCCTTCTCAGCGTTGACGAGGACCACGTCGACGTCTTTGTTCTTGTCTCCAGAGAGGAACTTAAGTGCAGATGTAGGGCTCCCGCAAGAGGCCACTGCAAAGAGAGGTGTGGCAAGTGACACGTGAAACCATGAGTATGCCCATAAAATTAGGGGTTATGCTGGCCAAAAAAAAATGAAGAAAAGAGAGGCTTTTTTTAATCTCTATATCTCTATTTTTATATCTATCTCTACCTCTATCTATAATAATTAATAATAATAATAATAATTTAAAAGCGACAGTTTCTTCCAACCCATTTCTTATTTTCAAAATACCCCCGTGCCCTTCATATGTCCAATATTTGATCCGGACTCATACAATGAAATCCGATTTCAAGACATATACGTTTGATAGTAATGTTAAAAAGAGATCTTGGTGGCACACAGTTCATAATTTAACAAAAGTGCAGTGAATTATGCAATAGGAATAAAACTATTTTCTTTAAGAAAAAAACAGTGAGATATTTAAAAATTGGCACAATTCTTTGATTTGAATCTTGCTTACTCAAAGGTATATATATATATATATATATATATATATATATATATATATATATATATATATATATATATATATATATATATATATATATATATATAGAAAAACTCTTTAGGAGAATGAGGGATATCATTTTCCCCAAGAAATAAGGGTTAATAAACTTGGTCTAAAACATGATCTATCTTCAAATATGGAAGAAACACGAAAAAACGACATGACATAAATAAACACCGAGTTCAAATATGCACATCATCACCGGCCACATCATATAATAATCTCCTGTCACTCTTCTAAAAATTTCCACCACAGATGTTGTAGAAAACATCATATTTTTACCTATTTCTATAGATATTAAATGGAAACAGCAGATCTCATGCCCAAAAACTCTCCAAACAAATACCCAAAATACATATAGCTTCACTGCATCTTCTTGAGGAAAACATACTTCAAGAAGATCTATAATTAGAAAACATTATTGCCAACTCAAAAGATCACAATTACCTTTGAAGTTTAGGAGAGAAAGAAGCATGGAAGATGACTTGATGAACCTTGCATCATCGTCCACAATCAAGGCTCTGATGCCATTGGGGAACATTGCTGTCATCTCCCGGTTCGATCATTGAGGCACACACTAGGGTGTGTGTGGACTTATGAGAAGGGACCGTGACTAACCTGTTTATTTATAGACTAAGGGAGTGGATGGGTGGGTGTTTTTTTGGGGGGGGGGGGGGGGGGGGGGCAGTGGGGAAGGCCATTTTTTAAAAAGCAGTGGAGAAGTGTTAGACCAGTGATGGATTGGATAAACAATAAAGTCTAACAACCTTCTTCGCTTGTGCTTCTTTTGCAACTTTTGGTTCAGAGAATGAGTAATCTTCAAAAAGCTTAAACTTAGCAGCTATATGATAGAACCAAAACTAACTTAATACGAGGAAAAAGAGCATCATGTGTACTAAATAATCTTTCTTTGTCTCTTGTAAGAGTACGTGATGAATGTAGGCATCACTCTATCTCTATTGACACACACATCACCTTATTGGTCATCTTAAAAAAATGTTTTCTACCCCATGTGTGCTAAGTGTGTCCATTGGATTACGCGAGTTTGTATGTTGCAATAGGAAGTATCCATTTAAATTCCAATGCATCCGTCTTCATTTGACAAACAACATTCGCCAACTACCTATTTTGCAGATTGCAATTCATTCGCAGCCTTGTATGGTCTTCGGTTCTCTCTCTTTCTTCAAATAAGATAAACAATTACTTGTTATTCTCCCCTTTCTCTCTAGAATGAGTACATAATGAATGAAGACATGTATAATTCTATCTCTAGTGACGTCATTCTTTCTCTAGTGACTCCACTCTATCTCTAGTTACTTCATTCTTTCTATAGTGACTCTAGTCTATCTATAGTGACTCCACTTTATCTCTTGTTACTTGTACATTGTCTTACTACTTATATTTAATCATGTTATTATGTTCCATCATGCATAGTCTATCTACATGCTTTTGTGAGTTCATATGATGGAAAAGTATCCACTTGAATTCTTATCACGCATTTGTAGTGTGTGGTTTGACTTGCAACATCTACCATGAAACTACCCTAAGTTACAATAGAATTTTTGAGCTCATAGTTCCAAACCATCTTTGCTTGTTGCCTATTTTGTAACTTTTGCCTATTTCTAGCATCTCTCTTATCTCTACTGACTCGCACATCACCTTTTTGACCGAAACAGCAGGGGAATTCCCTACCTATTTTTTTTTGCTTTTCCATTAAATGAAAGAATAATATTTACATGAATTAAAATACAAGGCACATATGCCCAAAGTAAAAAAGCAAACTATAACAAGTAACTATCTCTCCATAAAAAGTGTTTTTGTTCCATGTGTGCAAAGTTTGTCTACTAGATTGTGCAAGTTTATATGTTGCAAAAGGA